TCTAGCCAAAAAAAGAAATGTTCTCCTCAAAAAATATTTTCAAAGCCTGTTAGGGGTTAGTATACAGTATTTTTATATGAAAACAAAAAGCCCAATCATTTTGAGTCTTATTTAAAACCAACTACAGAACAGTATAGAAGACCTATTTTCCTGGAAAGTCTAACCTCTAGAAAGGTTACTTTCCAACTAAAGGGTAAAGATTCAGACTGAGGCTCATCAATTTTTGACCATCCTACAGCTGCAGTACACTCCAGTCCTTGGAGAAGAAAGGGGCATTCAGGCTCAGGATCCCCTCATTCAGTGCTCAGCTGAAATCAGGGTATGTGGGTGTGTATATGTGGGGGTGTCTAGTAAAAAAACTAGGGGTTCGGGTACTGTGCACATTTTTGCAAATGTCTGGGACTCAGTTGGAAAGACACATTATTACTGGATTGCAGTGCCTGCCCCCTGGCAAAGTTAATGGTGTTAATTTGTAAAGGTTCATTTGGGAAATGTTTGTGATTAATGCTTGCTCATTTGCATAACACTGTATTGTGTAAATAAAGATGTAGCCTTCTGCTTTCCAACAGTGGAGTTCTACCGAGATGATAAAAGCTGGACAAAGAAGGCTACTGTGGGACACTTCAACTAGGTCACATTGAATTTTAATGCACGAAGCCTGCCCTGGTACATTTATGTGGGTAATGGAAAACTGCAGAACGCAGCCTGTTTCCTGGGTAAATCTGCCTTCCAGATTGTTCAATAACCATATTTTCTACACTGAAGAGTGAAGGCAATTCCGTCTCAGGCTGATTTAGAAATGTTATTAAAGAAAATAAGGATGAGCATCTTCTTAATTCTTACATTAAAATGTAAATAGGGTAATTAGAAAATAATAAACTCCCCCAAAATAAAAAATGCTCAGTTTCAGAGCTCAGTTATGCTGATTACAGCACCAATACTAGACAGAGAGAACATGTATATGTCACACTTGTGAGTTTGCCATCCAGACTATGTGGCTTTACTGCCCGCAGTCTCAGTATGACTCGGAATTTTATTCTTTTCTCCATCATGAGCAGAGCTTTTGAGTGGTGCCAAGGAAGTGGGTGGTCACATGCTCACGTGTGCTGGTCTGTGTCTGTGTGAGTGACACAAAGACAGTTACAGACGTGGAGTGAAGCTCGAGTCAAAGCTGAACCTACTCCCAGAGCAATTCTGCAGTGTAGAGAGAAGACTAGCGTACAATAAAACTTTCAGTCATTCTTTCCTGGTCGTAACCGTTCCATCTGTAAAACGAGATTGTTTATACCCTGTTCTTCGAACCGAAATGCCATGGAAATGATGAGCAATCACAGAACTGGAAAGGTCTTTTTGCAGGTCATGTAGTTGATTTTAAGTTATATCATAGGAGGGGAAACTGAGGTCCACAGTGGTGAAGTGATTTATCAACTTAAGACTGAGAGGTTGTATCACATTCAGAGACTCTTACTCTAGCATTCTCTGCCCCCTCTTAATGCGCCCGCTCTGTGTGTGGAGTAACAGAAAGACAGAGCAGAAGGCCTGCAACAGGTTCTGGGAGGATCTGATAAGGTTCAACCTCAGATGCTTTCATTCACATTGTTTCTTAGTAAATTTGCTGCGAATCTAAAATAAAATAAAAACTTGGCATAAAATAAAAGCTCATTGAATGTGAAAAAAATAAGCAAAGTTATTATGTGAGGCAACATAAAATAGGAAGAGCTGTGGATTTAGAAGTAAGAGACCTGAATTTATGTCCTAGCTCTGACATATGTTGACTATGAAAATCTGTGTAATTGCAAGAGCTTGGAGAAGACCTATGTGTCCGCCAATAAGGGACTAGTTAAATAAACTATGGAACATCCACACCTAAACTGCTGTATTAGTTTTCTATGACTGTTGTAGCAAATTATTCCAAACTTACTGGCTTAAAAGCCAAAACACACTTATTATCTTCGGCTGTGTTCTTTTGGAGACTCTAGCAGTGGTTCTCAACCTTCCTAATGCCGTGACCCTTTAATACAGTTTCTCATGTTGTGGGACCCCCAACCATAAAATTATTTTCATTGCTACTTCATAACTGTAATTTTGCTACTGTTACATCCTGGGCGACCCCTGTGAAAGGGCTGGTCGACCCTCAAAGGGATCACGACCCACAGGCTGAGAACCACTGGGAAAATCAACTTCCCTCATTTTCCAGCTTCTAGAGGTTGCCCACGTTCATTGGCTTGTGGCCCCTTCTTTCAGCTTCAAAGCCCACAGTGGCCTCACATCACATCACTCTTTCTCTTTTGCTTCCTTTTCTACATTTAAGGAGCATAGGAGGGCCCACAGGATAATCTAGGATAAATGTTTCAAAGTCAGCTTATTGGCACCCTTAATTCCATTTATTACCTTAATTTCCTTCTGACATAAGGTAACATAATAAAAGGTTCCAGAGACTAGGACGTGAACATCTTTGTCCTACATACCTGTAAAAAACCGTGAGGAAGCTCTCTATGTTTAGACAGGGAAAATTCCCAGGATATATTATTACGTAAAAAATGCAAGGCAAAGAAAAGTGTAACTAGTACACTACCTTTTATGTAGAAAAGGGAGGAAATAAGAATATAGATTCATACTTATTTATATTTGCACAAACAAACCCAGGAAAGATAGGTAAGAAATATTAAAGTGGTTATAGGTAGAGAGGAGGTGGGAGGATGGGAAATGGGATGGAACAAGATTTTTCAGTGTATCTTTTAAAATTAATTTGCTTTTTGAATCATGTAAATATGTTATTATTGTTGTTATTATCATTACCTGTTAATCCTCACCTGAGGATATTTTTCCATTAATTTTTTTTTTTTTTAGATAGAGTGGAAGGGAAGAAAGGGCAGAGAGAGAGAGAGAGAGAGAGAGAGAGAGAAACATCAACATGAGAGAGGCATCAATCAGTTACCTTCTGCATGACCCCGACCTGGGCTGGGGATGGTGCCTGTGACCCTTCGTTCCAAGGGCTGATGCTCTAACCACTGAGACAAACCAACCAGGGCAATTTTTTAATTCAAGGGATTCATAGTTGCTCAAAGCCCCTATTATTCACTTGATAGTCAAAAAGCCTTCTGTTTTGAAGAGCCTACCATCAACCTTGTTACTTTCTTCTTCTTCTTCTTCTTTTTTATCCTGTCCCGAGGACATTTTTTCAATATTTTGTTCAGAAAGAGTGAGGGGGGGGGGGGGAGAGAGAGAGAGAGAGAGAGAGAAACATCGACGTGAAAGGGACACATTGAGTGGCTGCCACCCGCACGACCAAACTGCAACCGAGGTACGTGCCCTTAGTGGGAACCGAACTCGGGTCTCTCTGGACCGCAGGCCGACGCTCCAACCGCTGAGCCAAACCGGCCAGGGCGCTTTCCTTTTCTTAAGTCAACTCTTCTAATAGACATATCCTCGGTTGTCAGTGGCTTTGTATCAGGCATGTAACATGGCATTCTAGACTTCATGGAAGTCTATGCGTATTTATACAGATTCACTTTGTAATGTATTTGCATTGCATTATCAAATGTTTTCAACATCTAGTACTGCTGTACTGGGAATGCTAGGACTAAACAGGAAGCATGTCTTCAGGTGGGCATTCATTTTGCAAGGAGTCAGTTAAGTACGAACATTTTCATTTTATATTCATAAAGTTACAGATACTTTAAATTCCCTATGTGACTGTAAAAATTTGGATAATAACTATGCAAAGCTGTTAAATACACTTGGATCTATTTCAGTATTTATTATTCTGTCTTTTCTTACAAAAGTCATTTAATTATTATACCTTAAATCTAATAGTAATATTGTACTTTAATATATCTCTAGTAGTTATGTCTCTATCACTAGTTTTCTATTTATAAAATATTTCATGTCTCTTATCACATTAATTTTTTTCCACTCATGTTACTGAGTTATACTTTATATATAGTACAATTTCTTTTTAGGTATTAAGTTTTATGAGTTTTAGAAAACAAAAACAGTTGTTTAGTCACCACAACAATTAAGATATACACCTGAGAAAGTTCTTTCATGCTTTTAAAGTCAATTCACTAAACCACCCTCCCCTCAGTCTCTACTGATCTGATTTCTGTCTCCATAGTTTTGTCTTTTGCTGAAAGTCATATATGTGCAATTATACAGAAGTATATATTCATTATTTTAATATTTCTAATAAACATGAATCCTGTAACATACTCTTTGCAAAATGGCTTCTAAGGTGGAGTAGCTCCAGAAATATCACATATAATATATAATCTCCAGATTCAGATTTGCATTGATCATTGGCTTTACTTGGTAACTGGGTTTTATTATAAACATTTTAATATTATTTGTTTTTATTTCATGTTATTTTATTTCTACATTTTAAAATCTACATTCATAAAAGATTCATTTGTACCTTGTTCTTATTATCATTTTTTAAGCAGGTTAATTAGGCTGGCTAGATACAATAATTGACAAATCTTTTTCTATATTTGCACGTCTGGGAAAATATAAATCGTATAGTAAATTATTTTCTCAGGTAGTTAATACAATTTGGTGCGCGCGCACACACATACACACACACACACACACAATGTGACACTTGTGATCAAGAGTAATAACAATGGTTTTCTTCAGCATTCATTACTTTTTATTTTTTTTCATACTTTCATTGCATTTTAAATGTTAAAAAATACTGTCTGCTATTAAAGTATTTTTTCAAAAGTAAATGTAATTGGTGAGAGTAAGTGTAAAGTGGTCTAGGTGCAACCGATGACACAGAGAACGTCTAGCTTTTTTGAATATTAGTTACTCTATTGCTCAAATTACTATTGTTGACTTCAAATCCCGTGAAAATGTGGCACACTGGAATAAGTGGGCCGCCAAAAGGAGTGGCTGCTATAGAGTATGTAAATATGAAGTGATGTATGTATATACGCAGAACAGTCAGACTTTCAGCTCGACAGACTACAGACAGAGAGCAATGAAAAGGTGATACTCACATCCGAGTTAAAGCGAAGCTGACAGACATTACAAGAAATAACTTGTTTCTTCTTTGGGGGAATGGACACTCCAAACGTGTGGTTAATGACTGCTTTTTGCACAGGGTCCATCTGAAGATAAATGATAAAACAGTCAATGTATAACTTCAAAGGGTAAAAATAGTGTGAGCAAGTAAAGGTAGCTGTATTATTCCTTAAGGTTTTAACTTTTCATTCCCAAACAAGGGTAATAAAGAATCTCATTGAATAGTAATGTACTTGTTTCCAGGAACTGAAAACAAAAACAAAAACAAAAAACTGGTATGAAATTATAACACAAATCCGAGGAGAATCCAACCTCCCAAGAAATCATATGTATATTAGGAGCCTTGAAAACCTTAAAAGAATCATAAAACAAGAATATTTACAATCCAAAGGTCAAGAAAAATTTACTTGTTAATGTTTTCCCTATATGAGGTGATAATACTTACGATAGTCTGAAATGACCTCAATGACAATTATTACAGATATACTTAAGTTTCTTCAATTTTGATTTATGGCGAAGTAATAAATTACAGCCTCATATCCCAGCCCAGAAAATGTTGATCTTTATTTTAAAATAATATATTAGTTATCACGTCCTATAGATGAAATTCATTCTACTGGAAATGCATGTCACAATTATACTCTCAAATGCCCACAACAGATTGGTCAATATGCAACTCGTATTTAAATATGGATCAAGTAGTATTTTTTGACTTACAACTTGTGACTTTCCTCCCTTTGGTTTGCATATACCATGCAGATCCAGAAAAATATACAGTGATGAAAGTACTCAATCACAGAAAAAATATGACACAAATCCATCAAAATTCTTGGGGGAAAACACACACACACACACACACACTATTTTCAGAGCCTATGAAAAGAAAGACACAGCAGTGATTCTCTTGTGTGCTCCAGATAATAATCTCCAGCATCAACACTGGACAACTGGCAGTTCACAAAACAGTGCGGATGATGAACAAAGCGTGACTTATAAACACATGTAACATGAACTGACACCATTGTCTAGGAAATCTCCTGAGGTTAGAGTTTAGGATTGGATTAGCTGATGATATTTGGTAGAGAGGAGAAATGAAGACTATCCCTGGTCAGTAGTGTAAATCAACTAAGTGCAGAATTAGGAATTAGAAAAACTTAAATACATTAGAAAAAAGGATGGATTACAGAATTGTTGAATAGTAAAGTAGCCCATTTTTTGCTACAAGTTTAAGAGAGAGGACAGTGTATTGCCACTATAAAAACAATTATGTAGTTTGGGACACTTCCAAATTTCAAAGAGGGGAGTTTTCTGGAGTAGTAGAACACTTCTATAACCTGATTGTGGTGGTGGTTACACAAATTTATACATGTGTTAAAGTTCATAGAACTATACACACGCCCCCAAAGTCAATTTTATGTATAATAATTGAAAAAGTAAAAGAAAAAAATTGTTAATAGTATTATGCTTAACTACTAAGTATAAAATAGAATTACTGGAAAATCTGGGGATTTGTTTTGTTCAAGGCAATAACTGATTGTATTACATTTTATTTAATGAGATTTATAAAAAACAAAAGCAAGAATCCACAAACGAAATCTATGTTCACTTTCTTAGTTTACCCACAAGTATATACACTTCAGTCTCATTCATCTTTTTGTAAAATATGAAACTATACTTTCTGATTGTTACTAGAAATGGAAAATCAGTTTGGACGGGAAAATAATATAGCTTACCTTTGTTGGCAGAAAAAAAATAAAACACTACACTGTTTTGCAAAGTTAACAAATAAGAGCATTTTATTGAGATATTTTCAGTTCTCACACCCTAAAAATATATATCTGGTGATGCGTAAACTTTATGGGATAAAACCATATGAATATTCTCAGGCACCAGTTTTCACATGCCACTTTCATTATTTTTGCCATATCCATATACTATTATGTAATTATTATTCAGTTAATATTTTTTCTTTATTATTATTATTATTATTATTTTTTTATCCTCACCCGGGGACATTTTTCGATATTTTGTTCAGATAGAGTGGGAGGGGGAGAGAGTGAGAGAGAGAGAGAGAGAGAAACATCGACGTGAAAGGGACACATTGAGTGGTTGCCACCCGCACAACCCAACCAGGGCCGGGGACAAACTGCAACCGAGGTACATGCCCGTAGCTGGAACCGAACCCGGGTCTCTCTGAACCGCCGCAGGCCGACGCTCTAACCGCTGAGCCAAACCGGCCAGGGCAACATTTTTTTCTTTAAATCAAATAAAAATAGACTTAAAAAAACCTTAGCAATAATTATGAAATCACAGTTTTAATGTACATGTCTTCTTATTACTCATTTCAAAAAATATATTAAAAATTAACATTAAAAATGAAAATTTCATAATCTAAAATAAGTAACAGATATCCTAGTTGTTCCCACATCACAATCTAGAAACACAGACAAAAGACATAGCTGCAAAAATCTAGTTCTCAGTTTTCAGTAAACCCAGCTATTTGTTGGCAGCTCTAACATGACCTTGAATATAAATGTTCCTTTTACATTTTTGAAATTCTCTGCCTACATAATTTAAAAAATAACTCCTGATACAAATTTATCCTACTCCAGTCTCATATTTGCACATCAGCCTAAAAATTTCCATTTCTAGTCCCCAGGCTGAAAGCTCTCTGCCCTGAAAGGTGAATCGTGGCTGAGCACTCCAAATACCAAGGCACATGAGTTCCCAGCCATCTGCTCCCTGAAAGCCAGCTACGGTGATTCCTTCAAGAGACTCTAACTAGAATTGGCTTCTCTACTTTACATATATAATCCTACTTGTACCCATAAAATCAACTAAGTAAACACAGCCCTTTTACCCTGTCCCTCGTCATCTGTCATATCAAAATTTCATCCATGTTTCTCTCTTGGAAGAGATTTTTTCCATTTTCCACCTGATTCTCTATTTTCTTATAGGTAGTATTTCAGGGAAAGATTCACCTATTTTTTTTTTCCTGCCTAAATCTCTTTTATCTTTCTCTGTTGCTTATAACAGAATTCTATAATTCTTATTCATCATTTGGGGAACATGATTTAGTTGAAAGAAAACTTTAAGTGGTATAAAAAAGAGTGCTCTATTTACCAAATCATCTGATACCCTGAAACTGACACTGTCTGAATGATATTTTCCATCTATGTCATAATTACAAATCCATGAGTCATTTCAGTGGGATCCAGGCTTGTCAGGGACACAAAAAAGGGTTTCAGATCTCTCTTTCTCTTTCTCTCCTTGTTTAAAGTATAAAGTAGTAAAACCTGAATTTTTTTCTAAAAGTTAGATGAAAATAACTGTGATGTAAACTTACATTAACTTAAAATCTCCGTCCATGAATGCCATGTCAGTTCTCTGTAATCATAATGAGATATGTATAACTACATCACTGGTAATTATTTTATTCCATCACCAATTTTCAGGATGAATAAAACATTCATGATGAATTAAAACATTCTCATAAATCCTAAAGTGTGATATATGTGAGTGATTCAATTTAGTGTAGTCAAACTATATATATATCATAATAATTTCATATATTGAACACTTAGGAAAATTATTGGCGGTATTGCAATTACACAAGAAACTTTTATTTTTAAAGATTCAATTGACATTCCATAGATATTTGATTATTAAAAATAAACAAGTGTCTCCAAACATTGTTATTAAAATGTTTATATCACTTTCAAATGAACAAATTCCTTCTTAAATACTCAAATTACATTAGCTCTTATTCACATTACACAAGAAAGCTGTCTGTGAATTGAGAAGACTGAGATTCACTGATAAATAATGCTGAAAAAGCTTTTTTAAAGGGCAAAAACCCCACCTATCATATAGTTCTAGCTACTAGTATTCCTTATCTGATAAAATTTATTGGTCCCAAATAAACCTCTTCTTTTCTAAAAGAGTAAAGTTTGAAGTAGTAGTCTGGAATTTTTAGGCTAGCAAGCACATTTATATAAAAATGTTAAAAATCCACTTTCTTTGTTAATCTCTGATTAAAAAACCTGAAATGCTGACTAACTAAAAAGCATCAAGAGTTAACACTTACCACTCTGTCCAATGAAAACCGTGCAGAACTGAAAGCAAAACCTATTAGTGCAATTAACTGGTAGGTAATAAAAATAAAAAATGGGTTTGTGGCTGTTACCAAGAATCAAGGAGATAACTGGAGGCTATGTATTATATCATAGTACTTATAAAGGAAATTAATGAAGATGGCCTTATCATACCATCTATTCTATTTTCAATATCAAAATAAGAACAAATAGGTATCTTTGGTGTATTCACCGAGATTATGGAATCATAAATCTCTGTGAATTTTTTAAGAGATCATTACTTTCACAGAGTATACCAAAAAGTAATTTACATGTGCACCATGTAAACAATCATAAAAACATGCAGCTTCCAATAAAACCCAGCCACAGGGCAAAGTAACACACTGCAGCCCTTCACTGAGGGCAGGATGGACACAACCAGAGGGGAGAGAGTCTAGGGGAGGCTATGTGATCAAAGGACTTCATACTAGATGATATTTAGATTCCAGATAGTATTGCGAGATGAAACTTCAGGCAACTAAAATAGAATTACAAGCTTTTTAACTATCCCAATAATTTTCAAGAGGCCTGAATTTTGAACTGTAGTCTTGTAAGAGTCTTATGATTTCACTGGCCATCAAGTGGAACTGCGGATGGGAGTACATCGCACACTACCCGATTTTTAAAAGCAAAAAAGAATGCTCAAGACTTATACAAGGCATTCTTCTTTTTAACCTCACCCGAGGACACTGTTGCATTTATTTACAGACAGAGCGGAGGGAGAGAGGAAGGAAGAGAGAGAGAGAAACATTGACATGAAAGACTGGGGACAAACTGCAACCGAGGTACATGCCCTTAGCCGGAACCAAACCCGGGACTCTTCAGTCCGCAGGCCGACGCTCTAACCGCTGAGCCAAACCTGCCAGGGCACAAGGCGCTTGTTTATGTGGTTAAATGGCTGGATATCTATACAATTCTTAAAGATGGGGAAATTCCATCTTGAATTTAGCCAT